GGAGCGAATATTGGAGAAGGATTTTAGACGATTGCGAACAAGACTCTAACTATTGACTCTAACTATGGACTAACTATTGACTCTAAATGGAAACTAAGGTGAGAACAAAATGTCAGACTTCACTTGGGCACCAGAGTTCGAGCCGAGCAGGACCCTGCACCCGAATGACGATGCCTCAGCGCAGGAGTGGCCTGACCACGACCAATCCGTCTCACGGAGCTTACGCACTGCACCTGGGAATGGAACAGGAACAGCCCCAGCGACTGACGAGACAGGCCACCCGAGATACAGGACCACAACTCTTTTCTCCCTCTGGTACTCGAGCAAAGTCTGACTGGTAAACTACTATTCGCGGCGCGGATATACTAAAACGCGAGCAAAATGGATTGATTGAAACGAGAGAGAGGGATGAAGTTAAATTCGCTCCGTTATATGGTGGAATTTAGGAAGGCATACTGCACACTAGTACCGGTACACGCACACTCATACTCATACTCATACCGCACACGCATACGATGCATTCCCTTTGGAATGACCCAAAAAATCTAAGAGTACATGCGAATTTTAAGTCACTATAATTTTTCAAAAAACCCATGAATTGATTTCAAATTTTGCAGGTAGCTTTTTATTAGTAATAGGAATCCATAATAACAAATTCGACATACTAACATTGTTTAAGTATATAGCCTATACATCCTTAATTCGTTCAGTCAGAAGTGTCAGAGTCAAACCACGAACGTCTCGTTCTACTGCCGCGTAAGTCGGCCGCGCTTTTGGTCGACTCGTATCACTCAGCGGTAATTCAGTGGAGTAAATTTCCTACGTTATCGACGCGAAACTGCAGTTGCATCCGATCAATTGCAGTTCACACTGCAGTCAGCCACAAGACCAACAGTTAGTGAACACTTTACTCTGACTCACTGAGATTTCATTGTCAATTGCAGCATTTATTCAATTTTTTATCAAACCTCGAGATGGGGATATCAGAAGAATTATTCTTTTGTATAAATCCATATCTTCTCTCGTTCTCCTATAAATTCGTATCTACTACACTTTCAGACAGGTAGTTTATTTCAATCAAACAAAATATCATCCTCGCTTTATTTTCTCTTAAAAAAGCGTGAAACGTAACAAGGGCGAAATTTTCGCGCCGTTGATTTTCCACCATTCATTATCCTATCCCTTGCTCCAGTTTTATTTCGGGGAAGGTCCTTTCGTACTCTGTGTTGTCAGCTCCGTCAGCCGGAAAATCAAGTTCGCACGAACGCGCCAGGGACAATCGACCTTCGCCTCACCACGCTATGCCGTGTCAAAGTACTTCTTTCTCTCATCGATTTAAATCTTCCTTTCTATCGCGGGAGAATTTCTCACCTTCCGGAGAATTCCGGTCTCCCAGGCTACCCAGCCAATTCCCCGTGAACTTGTCTGGGACGCATGGTCGATTCCACTTTATGAAAGGTAAGAAACGAAGAGAACCGGGTTCCGATTGAAGAATCTCGCGACGCGATATCAACAAGAGTTAGAGCTTGCTTGTCCGCAATCGCAAAGAACGTCGCTTTGTCACTTTGATATCGTGCTCGTTGGATTTACAGTTAGGTTAGCTCCATTTCAGACGCAATATCGTCTGGATTTCCTCTCTGCTTTTCTTTAAACCTCGAGGAGCACCGCCGCCTTTGTCCCTTTGCTATCCTCACCTGGGATATTGCCTGTCTTGCGTTTGATAATACGAGATAATTTCCTTTCTATGCGTGTTGTCGGCAATGGTAGAAAGGAAGAAACGGTAAATTCTATACAAACTCAAAAGCAATTGTTTATGTTCGCAGATAATGTTGAATTCTATCTTTTATAAACGAGATCAGAAGAGAATTGTGGATATTTGTCTGATTTCGCTTTTAGTCCATGGGGTTATAAATATCTGGGTGTAAGGAAAGGGTAAAAGAAATTTCACTGATGCACTCACACATCCCTTTCTCCTTTTCGTTTTCGTTTTCGTCGTTGCAACGCAATCAAACGCGTGATTATAATTATTATTGAAATTACACGTTGTCCATAATAACACGCGTGTAACGGACGCGTTTCCGAGTGACGGCAATCAGCCAACGCACAACGGGGATTATTAATTTAAATGTAATACCAACGCCGAGATTGTGGCTCGGATAAACGGGGCTCGCTTAACCCGATATTCTATCTTATGGCAAAAAGATTCTATGCTGCTCGTTTATCACTAACCAAGAAAATTGTACGAAACTGATAAATCCTTTTTTCTTTTTTGTTTGTGTAATGTTAACTGAACACGAAGTATACGTATTAGTTTTAGTCGTTGATTGCTGTTATTAAAATGATAAGAAAAAGCGAAGTTATTCTTCAATTGATTCTTTAAATAGTGTTAGGAATTTATATGTTTCCAAAGATCGAGACGATTATGACAATGGTAGATACATTGGGAATCCTTTTAGTTAAACTTTAGCTTATATATTGTTCCCGGCTTATTCTGCTTGAGTCATCAGTGCTTACTCATTCATTCGTTTGTACACCGGGACTCCCACAACTGGAATTGTCATTTCAATAATAAAACCTTCAAGCACTTATTCATTAATACCTTGAAGACCATTGCATTCAATGAATCAAACATTTATTGCAACTAACTTTATTACAAATGTTTTGATAAAAAGAAAATAAATGTTAGGCATCTGTTAAAAAACTTTACATTTATGATATTGCTTAGACTTCGCTCGAGGAACAAATAACGATAAAATAATTGAAACGATGAATTGAGAAAGACTCGAGAGACTTGGTAGCCGTGATCATAGTTGAAGTTATTGTTTGTAGCACCGGATATGCCATCGTACCGGAAGAACCATCCTAGCTTGTACGGTTAGGTTCGAGGTGCGTCCGCGTCGTCGTACGCATGAATGCACACGCGTATTTTCCCACCCACGCCACGTAAAATATCATGGCTGCAGGCGAATCCTCTGGGACATTCTCGTTCGTTTTATGTCTATGCAGTTATGTAACGAATAGCCTATAAGAATTTCAATTCTCTCGTAATCAAATCGTACAGGAAAGATTTACAACTTAACTCTTCCCTGTCCGACTAATAACAGTCTTAACTAAACGTTGTGTTGCCATTGCTGATCTTAAATTATTAGAATGTCTTTCTTTCTAAAATAATCGATTATGAATTCTACAATTTCTTGTCTTCTCTGTGATAAGCTTTGCTTTGAAAGTTCTGCTAGAAATAATTTAGTTAACTCGATTGCCCTGATTAGTAAGTTAATAAACTAAATCATATATTATTTAAGTTATTTACGATTTCCGAAGCAAGTGTTTAAGTTGATCTCGTTATAGTGTCAGTCTAACATCTAGTTCTGTAGCAATTTACGGTAATTAACGGGCTCGCCGGTTTTAGACGTTACAGTTTTTCGTAGATCGCGTGTACCACGGCCGAAAACCGTTAAGTGGGAAGAAGAGTGATTAAGCATTTGTGCTCGAGCTAATCGACCGGTTCGCATGCTCGGCGCGTACCGCCGGAACGTGACGCGACCAACGATGCTTCCCTGAATTCCTAATGATCAGAATCAGAGAATAAAGGAGGAGCCTCTACCCTTTAATAATTCTTAAGCTCTGGAATTCTTTAGAACGTACTGAAATTTAAAGTCTGATTTTTCTTACACGTGTATGCTTGTTACAAATTATCATGCATTGACGACAAACATTTTGTTTTCATCGATATATTTTTGTTTCCTAAAACAAAGTATGATCTGTTCTATCAAACTCAATGATCTGTTCATCGAACGCATGATTGCTCTGAATACGTAACGCGGAAGAGACCGCTGGAAAGTGCTTTCTAATTCGCTCTTGATACATTGAGCGTATGAAATAAAGTTCTACGCGACGCGTTGTTACCTTACCTCGTTTACACAGGCGACCCTAATTTCCCTATTGTTCCCCGAGCGCGATTTCATGCTCGTTAATTACCATTGCTCTCATTCCAACGCGCGATGTACTGTGTATTTATTCGTGCGAAGTCTATTGTTTCGGATTAACAAGCTCTCCACATTAGCTATACCAGCAAAACACTGTTTTGACAGCTAAAGTTGTTACGGTTATCGATATTAAGCGTAGGTAGAACGTTCATAAATTCTATAATCAAACAATAAGGTACAAGAAACAACTGTTTAATAATTAATGAATTTTTTAGTAAAATCGATTGATATTAACATTGTCAGTACTATCTTTCGACAGACATAAAAGTTTTTCCTTTATTATAAATAAGAAACAATGATAGACTCGATTGTGGAGTTGGTGGCTGCGAAATTATCATGTATTAATAAATGGAAAGTATCGACTTGTACTGTATTGAATTTTTGAGTAATTTGTCGATACGCGCGGGAACAATCGAACGGCGATGATTTGTGATGGTTGCTTCACGCACGGCTTAATCCAGTCGTTTATTTGGACGAGGAACGACTTCCTGTCGCACAGGCGGGGCACTTATCGTCACCGACAACCGCATATCCTCTGGTTGTCCCAAGACAGATCCACCGACAGCGCAAACAGTCCGCCTTCGGTAGCCTTTCGCATTTAATCGTGGCGAAAATCCTAGAACGTGCAGATTTAGTGGTCACCGTTGACACGACGTTTCTAAAGGAATTGTTCAGAAATGTTATCATCAGTGATTTTTGTCATCCAGTGAGATAACGTGATACGTGTTCTATAAGTTTATTGCATTACCCGATTGTGCAAATTGATAAATAAAAAAGGGAATGCAATTCTCTTTATTCTTATATTGTCTTCTTATTNTTTGAATAATAGAGCAGCAAATCAATTTCTATGAAAATTGGATGACATTTTTTCATGTAATTATTATAATTAATTATTTAATACTTTTAAATTATAAATAATATGGAAAAGTAATGTTTTATTGACAGAACAAATAGGAAAGTATTTTAACTTTGATTTATTTCGTCTATTAACATATTTTGTAGTTCATTATCGTCTTTCTGTACTCACTTACTTATCATATTTTACGCATCTCATGTCCGCGAGATCTTCGTTGAAGAACACTTTTCATATAACGTTCTCCACTCACTCTGCAATGCAAATCGTTAATTACAGTGTTGTAACTTAATTACAACTTGTCATATGTCGAATATCATTTAATCATAACGTAATCTGATCGAAGCTAAAATATATAAAAATAAATGAGTTGGTATATTTAAATGAGCTACTGGAAAGGAGAACCAGATGTTAGTTAAAGGTCTCCAGTGTTCCCGGTTTTACATGAATTTCTCTAACCAAATGGAAATTGGTGTTGGAGTTGTGAAAGTAGAGAATTCTTTGAATATTTATGAACGATTTTAGTAAAACAATTGCTTGTTTCTCGAAGTTTACATTGATTAGAGAATATGATAATCTAAGACCTGAATCCTTTATTTAATTAAGATCTACTAGATTTGTGTTTTAGTTTCCAAAAACCAACTGGAACAGAATAAACTTAATTGCGTTTTCAAAAGTTCTTTTGCCGCTATATTTTTAATTATAATATCACATTTGGTTAAGTGTTTGGGTTTCGTAATTAAGAATGAATGAACGTTTATTGACAAATTGATATGTCGAACATCATATTTGTTAAATTAGCATTTTAGCGGTTCAGGCAGCATTTCATAATTTATAATTCGTTTATGGAAATCCTTGAATTAATTGTGGAGTTAATCATGGCGTATTATTCGAGTCTGTAGATTCGCACGCATTTCGTGTACTTGTTTCCCAGTTTTCCAGGCCGCGGTTAAGATCGTTGTTAGATTTCGGCTGATTTTCCTCGAGCGGTGTCCCCACCGTTCCCGATTTTGCAGCTGCCGATTGGAAGGAAGGTTAACGCGCGCGGTCGCGTTATTCTCTGCGATCGTGGAAAGAGACCTCGCCGCGTCGCGTCGTAACGCGCCGGATGCGATAAAAGTTGCCTCTGGTTCTCGTCCTCGTCTCGTGTGTCTGCCTCGCCACGCCGCGACGATACAAGTGCATTTACGCCTGTCCAGCCCGTGTCTGCCAATTTTTCGCTTCAGGTTGTGTAATAAATTCATTTTGTTCATCGATACTTTTGCAAAATTCTCTTTTACACTCATAACTGTGATTAGATTAAATTAAAAGCTGTTACAAGTCACTTATTGTAATTAATCTTTAGAAAGTTGTTATGCAAAATTTACGAGCTGCTACATAAACTGTTTTAAGGTGACGTGAACGAAAGTCTTACACAACCTGATGCTATAATGTACAAATCGCTGTTCGATCGCGTGCGACCAGAAGTTGTAATCTCGGGGCATCGGGTAAACGCTGACTGTGCTCGGTGATCGTGAATCGAACGGGAGCAGAGCCCTGTCCAAGGCGAACCGCGAACTAATTATGGAGCTGTCACTAGACCACGGATCGTCTAATTGCAGTAACGATACCGCGCTCGTTCGCTCAATCTAAGGGGACCGACGAAGCGACGGTTCGCCTCGAACTACTTAGAATCTGTCGGCCGAACGAATCGGTGACTCCGCTGGATTTTATCCGATTTCGTGCTCGAGCAATTTCGACTTAATCGCGGAACAGTTTGTGAAGTGCATTAAGTGACTCAAATGCTGGAATCGTGTGATTATATTGAATCAAAAGCCGTGAACAATTACATAGAGACACTAACTTGTTTAAGTTTGTAATCAATTAGTTTTAATTAAAATTAGCACACAGTTGATGATCTGATATCATCTTATTGGACTTAAATTGAAAATCAAGTATGTTCGTCAAAAGATAGAAATGTGTAAAACATTCGGTTTATATTTCTATATGAGAACATTTAAGTAAGATATTTCGGTTGATGATTTTCAGATGTCATTGCTAATTGCTAATCCATAATGATGTTTTCATAAATGCCTTGTGCTTCGAAACGGTGAACGAATAATTTGAATCAAATTGTGGAACATTTGTTAAATGCATTCCATAATTCAATGAAACAATTCCATTTGGCTAGCCTGGTGCTTATAAATAATCAAACAGAGACATCACAGAGTGCAGCGTGTCAGGTTTTTCGTTTGGAACTAGTTTTGCGAGCGATGTTGCTAATTGCTATTCGATAACGAATGCTCGTTAACGGGAGGAAACGTCGATTAACCTACTTCCTGGGGACATCAACGCGGCACACGTGATCCCGTTGGAAAATCGGGCCACGAAGGAGTGTCATTGGCTCGGTTCACACCGAAACGAAGGTGTTGCAATAGAGCTTGTATTGGTAGTAGTCGATGTTCACGATGAGTCGTAAAAAGGTGTGGAACTCCATTATGAGACGCAAGAGGAAGAATCAGATGGAACTGAATGGCATCGAGGAAAACGATTCCAGTAGCGTCTGTAAGTGATTCAGACACAGGCTTGGCTCTGTCGCGAATCTGCTTGCTTTTTCATTGGCTGCGCGGAGCTTGGAAAATATCTCGAGACCTACACGATTTCTCAAATGAGAAATATCTTTCATTTGAAACGTATTCTTTTTTTTAATATTCATTGCAGTATTAAAGCATAAAAATAGTACATTATTAAATAGTTGTTGTTGTAATTGATGTACGAAAATAAGAAATCGTGTAGTTGAATACTGGAACCGTTGAGCATTAAACTGGAATTAATAATTGGTGTTTGATTAATATTAAATTTGGCGATTTATATTATTTAATAAACTTGTCGAACGTTTCTCGAAATGGAACCAAATCATTGAAACTATTTCAACAGAAGTGTTTCATAATATTATCAGATATATTAACAGAATTGTTCCATAGAAAATTACATTTGTCTGTGGCATTACTGGAGATAGACAATACCCCGGGTGATGTAAATCCACATGAATCACGTTTCTGTGAAGCTTTTTTGCTGATGCATCGCATCGGCAAGATACAACACTTTATTTTACATAATATAAGGATGAAACATTTAGGAAATCAAACTTACTAAAACTCATACTTATTTGGCAAAAGAGTGACGTGATATGTTTTGTAGCTCGAACGGTTCTGGTGCTAATTGATATCTCTTCATTTTCAATCTCGCATTTTCTCATCCAACTCGCTTTGTAGGCTTCGCAAAAAAAGCTCCATCATCTATACGCGTTTGTTAATAAACCTAGTGGCACGAGGTGCTTCAAAACATGTAAATTACCCAGGCCGCGTTCGGTATTTTTGCGGAAATGAAAACCGCAGCCTGTTTGTCTCGCGTCATTAATGCCGCGTACGATTTTCCGTGTTGGTACGTGGTCAAAAGTATTTTCACTCGCATGACTTCACTTCGACGATTTCAAACATGAAACTGTGACGCAAAACGTCGATGAAATTCCTGTTATACATATAGCGGAATGCTGCTTCCAATAAGTTTTGCGATTATGGTAATATCCTGTACGGTTACAATTTCTTATCCGTTTCTAAAGTGGTTCATTCGGTTTCCTATCACTTAAGCAAAGATTAAAAATTAAAAGTTGACATATAAAGTTTGCTTTATTTATTTTTGCTAAAACTTTGGCAAACTCGTGTTACAAAGGCAGACGTGTTGCAAATTGTATTTAACTTATACCAAAAATCAACTAACCAGAGTGAAAGGATGAGGGTTGGCGACAACTGCTGAAACATCGTACCGGGTGGGTTTGTAACGGGTGAAGCAGCAATCAAAGGATGTCGTTCGTTGAACAGAGACGTGGAACAGATGGTAACGGGGGGGTGGGAAGCGACGCGAGAAACGCCGACACCAGGAGATTTTAATTGAAACGTCCGTACATTTAATTAAAAATCACTGTCAGCTGCGACTCCGTGGTGAAACCGTTGTCCAACTGAGACCCCCTGCGGGAATTGACGTCCGCTGTTGTTTAAGCAGACACTTGTATGCATTTAAGCTCGGTTAAATCAATCTTAAGACGTTAATTGCTGTTTGAGATGCTTTTTGCGATGGGTTTTCAAAGTATCGGATAAAATTAGGAAATTTTATACAAATTAAGATAATGAAATAGTTCTGTAATAAATATTAAGGATTGATAAAGAAAAATTATAGAGTATCAATTAGAATGAATTTCTGGTAAACGCATAAGAAATATTAACTTTAAAAGAAATATCCTGTAAACATTTTTAAATTGTATGATACAGAGTGAAAGAGCACTGAAGAACATTTGCAGAATGTTTATGTAGAGATTTGATAGCAAGACGTAATGGAGTAGTGTCACGATTACTAGTAGGGTGTGCGTGTAGTGGAAACGAGATAGAATAAGAATAAAACTGGGAAAGTTAGAAGACGTAATTCAAGGAGACAATGGCCATGGGCCGGGGTAACGCGATCCCGCGGTGAGGTGCTTCGGTTACACGGGGTATAACTTAACCACCGGGGTATACTCTTGCTTAATTGCTACTGAGACACTGCCCTGTTCGCCTCGAACTCGATTAAGTCTACGAGTTTGGGCCGTGTCCACTGGAACCAGGCTAATTGCACTCGTGTTTAAACAAGAACTAAGGGAACTGTATCAATATTATTTTCAAGGATTGTCCATTCATTTATTCGCTGCGTTGTCTTAAGGTCGTATGAACTATTACATAAAACCAATGAGAAAACATTTAAATTTTAACAATGACTAGATATCACTTTAATAAAATACTGTGCAAAATTTTAGACATTTTGCAAGTCTATTTAAAAAATTATTACATCTTGAACCTTAAGACAAGTTTAATTTGTTGTCAATACATCCATTGTGTCACAGAATGTGGATATCTTACAAAAATATTTGTAATTTCAGAACAATAAAATTCCATATTCAATTTAAATAGATAATAATTTATTTGTCATGTGATACCAAATGATATTGAATAAGTATAAGATTGACATAAAAAATTATTTGCTTGAGTGGTGGATTCATTTAGAGATTAGTTTAATTTCACGTAAGAGTTACATAATAATCGTTTGCCTGGCGAAACCAAGTTCGAGAAATTGCTAATAACAAGCAGCGATTTTATGAGTTATCCCGTCAGCTGTGGGACGGGAGTAATGGTCGCTTTGTTTCGACCGAGGTTTCCTCTTCCGCCTGCTTCGGCTAGTCGAATGGCTCGGTCGAACGATCGCGAAAGCTCTCTTGGCCGCTTTCCGTCTCGGCATCTATCGTTTGTAATAAGAAAAAAACCTATAGACGCCGAACAGCGACAAGATAATCGAGCAAAGAAATGGCGAAGCGATCGTGACGTCTAGAAATTCTCTGGTAAATTCGCCTCTCTCATCGAAAGCTTACTTTCGTTCTTTCTTTCCTTTCTTGAAATAGATTAACGTGAAAAGAATATCTTTTTATTTTTTCAACATCCAACACATCTCTTCTTCAATGAATCAATGTTTATTTGGCAAAAGAGTGACGTGATATGTTTTGTAGCTCGAACGGTTCTGGTGCTAATTGATATCTCTTCATTTTCAATCTCGCATTTTCTCATCCAACTCGCTTTGTAGGCTTCGCAAAAAAAGCTCCATCATCTATACGCGTTTGTTAATAAACCTAGTGGCACGAGGTGCTTCAAAACATGTAAATTACCCAGGCCGCGTTCGGTATTTTTGCGGAAATGAAAACCGCAGCCTGTTTGTCTCGCGTCATTAATGCCGCGTACGATTTTCCGTGTTGGTACGTGGTCAAAAGTATTTTCACTCGCATGACTTCACTTCGACGATTTCAAACATGAAACTGTGACGCAAAACGTCGATGAAATTCCTGTTATACATATAGCGGAATGCTGCTTCCAATAAGTTTTGCGATTATGGTAATATCCTGTACGGTTACAATTTCTTATCCGTTTCTAAAGTGGTTCATTCGGTTTCCTATCACTTAAGCAAAGATTAAAAATTAAAAGTTGACATATAAAGTTTGCTTTATTTATTTTTGCTAAAACTTTGGCAAACTCGTGTTACAAAGGCAGACGTGTTGCAAATTGTATTTAACTTATACCAAAAATCAACTAACCAGAGTGAAAGGATGAGGGTTGGCGACAACTGCTGAAACATCGTACCGGGTGGGTTTGTAACGGGTGAAGCAGCAATCAAAGGATGTCGTTCGTTGAACAGAGACGTGGAACAGATGGTAACGGGGGGGTGGGAAGCGACGCGAGAAACGCCGACACCAGGAGATTTTAATTGAAACGTCCGTACATTTAATTAAAAATCACTGTCAGCTGCGACTCCGTGGTGAAACCGTTGTCCAACTGAGACCCCCTGCGGGAATTGACGTCCGCTGTTGTTTAAGCAGACACTTGTATGCATTTAAGCTCGGTTAAATCAATCTTAAGACG